GAGAATCTCCTGGATCCCGATGCCCATGTGGATGCTGGAGTCTGCTCCAGGAACAAAGAAGGCAGCACGGAGAACAGAGCCAGGCAGCGCCGGGCTCTGAAGGTGGAGGAGGAGGAAGAGGAGGAGGAGGAGGAGGGAGCAGGTAAGAAGAGGCAGATCTAGCTTGTTCCCAGAAGCTGTCAGAGCTGACCCCTAGGCTGGTGACCTCCAGGGATGAGGGGCCCTAGGTCCGGGAGATGGGGAGCAGTGGCTGGATTCTACAGGCCTGGCCACTCCCAGCTCTGCCCCACTCCATCTTACAGGCGAGTGGGAGTGCGAGGAGTGACACACAGCCAGAGCCCCAGCAGCCTCTGACTGTCTCTGCCCCTGAGACAAAGGCTTCCCTCTTGGGAGCATCATCGACGTCCTCCCTGAACTGAGCCCTCAGAGCTTCAGTGGGGTGGGTGCCCTCACTCCTGCCCCGAATGCCACGCCCACTCCTGACCTGCTCCCTGTCTTGGCCCAGGTACCGAGATCGCCATCATCCTGGATGGCTCAGGAAGCATCGATCCCCCAGACTTCCAGAGAGCCAAAGATTTCATCTCCAACATGATGAAGAACGTCTATGAGAAGTGCTTTGAGGTGGGCTTCCCTAAGGGCTGGACTCACACAGCCTCTGGGTGACCCACCACAGTGAACCCGCCACCCCAAAGCGTCCCCCAGTGACCTGCTCATATTCGTGGGTCAGCTATTTGGGCTGGGCTCAGCAGGGTGGTGGTTCTGCTGGAGTTATTCCTGTAGCTGCAGACTTCTGGTTGCTTGCTTGGGGGGCCTAAGGTACCATCACTTGTCTGGGTCCTGTGCCTTCAGCAGCTCAGCCCAACTCTTTCATGGCAGGCGCTTTTCAAGCCTCTGATTGGATCACATTGGCTGATGCCCCATTGGCCAAAGCAAGTCACATGGCCTATCCTGGAGCCAGTGTCGGGGAGGGGGACCAAACAGGGACGTGGATTCAGGGAGCAGCCTGTGACTCACTGGGAGGCATTACCATCACACCTTCCTCGCCCCCTACTGGCTTAGAGATTTCCCTCTGCCTCGGCATCTCCTCTGGCCCAGAGTTGAGGAGGAAGGAGTGGATTCTGCACTGCCTTCAAGGGGAGCCATCTAAGGAGTGGACGTGGCCGTGGGCATGGTGACTCTGCCAACTTCCTCCCCCCTTGGCCCTCCCCTCCAGTGCAGCTTTGCCCTGGTGCAGTACGGGACAGTCATCCAGACGGAGCTTGACCTTCAGGACAGCCAAGACGTGACGGCCTCCCTCGCCAGAGTCCAGAACATCACTCAAGTGGGCAATGTCACCAAGACTGCCTCTGCCATGCAGCATGTGCTGTGAGTGTGAGGGCAGTGGGGATTACCTGCACACCTGCTGGGTGCCGGCCCATGGCCCTGCCCAGAGGCTCTGAGGCATCCTGACTGGAGAAAGTGGCTGGCCAGAACTGGGAAGAGGAGAGGGTCTTCCTTGGCTGAAAGGGGACTGTGAGGTCCTCTAGTCCAGCCTTGGCTGGTGGATGACACCCCAGGACAGTCCTCCAAAAGTTCCTCCAAAGGTTCCTCCCGCAGTGGCAATCAGGCACAGTGCTTATAGGGAGGGGCTCAGTGGCCAAGCTCCCTGGGTTCAACTCCCAGCTCTAGTTGTGAGACCTTGGGCAAGTTGCCTAACCTCTCTGTGCTTCAATTTCGTCACTGTTAAAATGAGAGTAACAGTAGTACTTGCCTCATAGGATTTTGTAAGGATTAAATGGGTTAAAACTTGGACGGCACCTACAACAGTGCCTGGCACATAAGTGCTATGTAAATCTCAGCCACTGTTATTAATGTCATTATCATTCCTACACGTGCATGCGAGGAAGAGGCTCAAGTGCTGTCCAGCATCTTTCCATTGGGAGCAGGTGCGGGGCAAGAACATGTGTGTTACAGCCTCATGTCCACCTGCCCTGCTGTGCACCGTAGGGCATCACCGTCCCTCTCTGGGCCTTTGCTCCCCTAGGAGGGCTCCTTAATCCTCTCC